TTAGTAAGGTTAGTATCATTTATTCATATTGTTTTTGTTTTTTGCACATCTTTCCCTTTTCAAAAATATAAAATGTCATAAAATTTCAATGTATATTTATCATATTGCTCGCGCGTTAGACGATCTAGAGTCCAACCGCTTAAGTAGCCCATTACGCCCTTTTGGGTACTTAAAGTTGACATTATAGACAATGTTTGTATGTAAAAATAAAAATTTTTTAAAATGCTATAAACAAAAAAAATCAAAAAGAAAATTTTTTAATATTTTTATTGAGCTTTGTACCACGATTGTTTATTAGGAAAAATTGAAAAAGCAACAAAGTCTAGCAGCTATTTCGGAGATCACCACATCTCTGTTTACTTTATTTTTTTTTATACGTTGCACATTATTGTAAAAAATTTACAATTAAAGCCTATAATAAGACGGAAGAAATGCATTTTTATCATTAAGTTTCGTTAAAAGGTTTTTGAGATACAGAACTTTATAGAAGGGTATGTATGACGTTTTCCTAAAATTTAAGTCCCGTGTAAATAGGCAACTCTACATCATATCGGCAAAATATGCTGCACGTATATCATGTCACCTAGACCTTCTATCTCATCAACTTTCTTCCAAAAAATTTTGAGAGGCCGCGCAAAGAGGGGCCTGCGGTGACATGAAATGCCTCACATGCAACCTTGTGAATATTAAAGATACTGCAAACGTGCATAGCGACCAGTGTTGCCAGCTATTTTGTAGCTATATTTAGCTAATATTCTCGACGTTTAGCTGTAAAAATTTTCGTTTAGCTATTAGCTACTTTTTAAGCTTTTTTTAATTTGAGTTAGCTATATTTTTTATAATTTCTCCATTTTTACACTGAGTTTTATCATTTTGTTGAATATCAAACAGTACAATAATTGGTATTCTGGCATACACACGAAGCAATCAATATAATTAGGACACTATAGTAAAACTGCGGTTGTAGTTTTTCTCTTTTACATTGGAGTTTTCTAAGGACCTTGTAATTTCAAAGATATGATTATTATAAGATGATCAAAGATAAAATTATTTAAAAAATTCAGTAGAGGACGAATGGGCATTGACAATGGCCTTTTAATTAATTTTTTTAAGCTTATAAAGTTAGAAGGACGAAATTCGAGGATGTGGTCGAGTGTTTGATATATATTAATTATAACCGCATAGTTTTGTTCACAACGTTTTCCTTTAAATATTGAAATATCTTCACTGATTCGTCGAAATGGAAAGGAAACTGTGAAACTAAACCAAGGATATTTTGATATTTTAGGAAGAGATTTGCAGATTTCAGCTAAAATTTTAAGAATATTTACTAGTCACAATAAAAGGGGTTAGAATCAAAAGGATCTAAGTAGATCTGCAATTTTTTTGAGATAATTAAGGTTAAAGTTGATTACTTATTGTAAATTGTGGGTAAATGCATTTGAAATGATTTTTGCCAAAATGAATCCAGGTTAATTAACTGATTCAAAGAATGTTTACTCTTTGCAACCAAATAGACACTATATTTAACTATACAAATGGGTATAACTTATATTTTCAAAAAATGTCACTTAGACCCTTATGATTCTAGCCCCTTCAATTATAAGGTATTTTAATGTATCTTAATATTTAAGCTCGTATTTGTTTGCGTTATAATAATCTAATTATTTAATTTATGTAGCTTTTTTTGAAGAAAAATATATATTTTTTTTGCTTTGAAACAAATTGTTTGGCTATTTTTTGCTATTTTTCGGAGAATTTAGCTATAAGACTCAAATTTTCTGGCAATACTGATAGCGAAATGTATCACTTTTTCACGTTTTCGTTTAAAGCTCTCTTTCCTCGTCCAAGTCATCGAATTTGTTGTTTATATTATATATCACAATTAATGATATTTGTTATTTTCTTAATAGCATTAATACATGCCGCTTACGTTTTTTTGCGGTTAGGGCTCGATATTTATATAATTATATATGTTTGCATGTACATATGTATATATATGAACATAATTGAGAAATTCTCTATATTTTGTTAGATTCTTGTTTTGACTTCGCTAAATTGAAATCTTTCTATTTCGAAAATCTCAATAATTGGTAAAATATAACTGGCTCTCGCTATTACGAATTATAGGGATCCCACTGTTGTTGTTGTTGTTGTTGTATAACGTATTTTACCTTTAGTCCAATCGAAGTTTTAAATTCTTTCGCACACATTGGACAAGGGAAAACTCTATTTGAGTGATGATAGCGTATGTGTGATGAAAGTATTCGCCTTGTAGTTTTCTCAGCATCACAGTGAGGACACTTAAAGACTTCACCAGATGCTTCATCACGATGTGATATCATATGCTTGCGCAAATTGCGATCACTCTTTAGCCATTTCAGACAAACTGGGCATTGTACCTCAGGACGGGGTTCCGTGTTGTGCACGTTATCCATATGGTATTTTAAGTTTGCCGCATTTCTCAAACGTTTTCCACATATGTCGCAAACGGATTCAAATTCATTTAGGTGCACAGTTTTCTCGTGCTGAGTTAAAATCCAAGTATTGGCAAAACTAAAATGATGATAATAGTAATAAGTTGGCATTTTGTACTACTAAAATAACAATGACATACGCTTTATTGCATAATTTACAAATGTGATCTTTAGGCATGTGGCGCATGCGTATGTGACTATCTAAAATGTATTGTTTGGAAAACTTTTTCGGACACTGTTTGCACCCAAATTGAAGATTTTCCTCTGCTTGGTGCAACGAGAGCATATGATTGATATAATTTTTGCGGCTTATTAATTGTTTATTGCATATAGCACACCTAATAAAAAAAACATAGGCTATTAATAGTCCGGGGAACATATATGTATGCACTTGTATGTTTATATGTATGTACTTAAAAAAATCGGGGTTCTTATGCAGTTGAATATGATCAACGAAAAATGTTCGTTTCAGGAAACGTTGATTGCAGCAAACCGCATAGCCGGGACACTGATGTTGCCGCCGAAAATGACTTTTAAGCTCCTTGAAATCTTTCAATTTCTCTTTACAAATGTAACAACTCAGCTCCGTGTTTTGGGCCAAAAATTCGTCAGCCTCTTGGATTGCTTTTAATTTTTCTTTATAATTGCTCGAACGCATGGGTTTTTTGGCTTCACCACCCCTTCTGTTTTTCTTTTTTGGGTTGTCTTTTTCTTCAATACCATTGTGATTTTTCTTTTTAGCGATTTCACTTTTTTTCGGGCGCCCTCTCTTACTCTTTCCTATCTCAAATGTGCGATTTTCTTTTGCTTTAGTATGTGTGGACTTTTGTTCAACTTGGGAATCTATTTTTTCCGTCTCAGTTTCAATGTCCTTCGATAGAAGATCTAGTATTTTTGGATATTTTTTTTTCGAATAATTTAATTGTCAGCATACATATGTACATATAAGTAATTCATCACAAACATTAAACAAGAGCCGTTTAAATACTTACCTAGTGAATCCGTTAAAGGAACAGTGAAATAATCATCGTCCATCGTTGACTCATCCTCTTCCGTTTTAGCCGCCACAAATTCAGTTTGACCTCCACAGATTCCAGGTTCTCCTCCATCAAATATATCTATTTCAGGCTCACATAATTCAGTGTCTACCTTTTCGTGACTTATAGGCATTTCATTATATACGATAGTTTCCCCCTCAATTTCTTCTATATCACGTTTGATTTCAGGCAACTGCAAATGACTTTCTAGGTTCTTCTGCTTCTCTTCAATACGTAACCAAAATATGTGGAATTCGTGCAGATGACCCCAGCATAGCGAACATATTATATTTGACACAGTATCATCGTAGCGGATCTAAAATTTTGGATGTTCGTTCGGATAAAAACACATACCTAAACGTATGAACTTTCGTTTACAATTTACCTCAATTGCGAAATGCTTAGCCACCACCTTTAATATCTCCTTCTGAGCCATTTCACCAGTCTCGGTGTAAATGTTCAATATATCTTTTGATTCACATAAACATAGTCTACAAATCATATTGTTTTCTTATAATTTCTTTTGTTTACCATTTGCCGACCAACTAAATTAATTTATTTTAGGGAAGCGCGATTCCGCTACGATATCGTTGTTCAACATATCGGTTAATTTATATCGATACCAGGTGTTGTGATACGATATCGATACAATATTTTGTTTCGATATTTGCGTAAAAATATGATATCTTTTTAACCATGAACCATGGTTCATGTTTATAACTATTTCGTTTTCGATATTTCCGATATTCAATATATATATTAGTAGATATATCGGTATCGATTATTATGAATTTTGAGCAGAGGAGGGTAGCTTCGACTAAGGTTCATAGAAGAGAAGGTTACGACATGGGGCTGTCAAAAATTTGTTTTCCTCCAATGACGTAGTTGCGAAGTGAGTTCTGATTGGCTGAAATATTGTACGAAGAAGGAGAGTACACAAAACGCAGAAAACAGCTGAAGGCACTGAACACCTTTTGCAGAGAACACCTTTCTGCGTAGGCAGCCTTCGGCCGCACTTAAGGATTATAACCCTCACAAAGTAGAATTCTCTCTCTGTGTAGCGAAGAAAAGGCACTGAACACCTTTTGCAGAGAACACCTTTCTGCGTAGGCGGCGTCGGCCGCACTTA